ACTGATCCAGATTTGAACACTGTCCTGACGTCAGGACGGTGGCGCTACGGCTATTGGGCCAACTCTCCACCTATCAGGGGAATGTGGGGTTGGGCCACGGCCGGCCATTGCCGCTCGAAAGCGCTGGAGACGCTTTAGTACATATGCCAGGCCTCTAAGTGGCGCTGTAGTCTGCCACAAAAGCAGCGAAGAAGACTTCCCGCGCATGGTTGCCATGGTTACCCTTCTGTTTATTCTCCGTTGTGGCTTTTGTTCTCCCTCCCCGAGGCAAGCACTGTAATTCTCTCCGGTTAGTCCACCAGCAGATGACAAACACCCACCTCTCCACCTCTTCCAAGGAACGAGGGGACCGTGCGGCAGAGTTTCAGTTAGGTTTTCTTTCGCCGGTCAAGATGTCCGTTAAAGTTGAAATCTTCCGGACAAAATTATAAAAGTGCCGGTCAAAGGTCTTCTTTGTTATTTATTGAGCTTTAAAACAAATGAATAACGACTCTATATAATAATATAAGAATAAAACACGGAGGACGGAGATCTCTTTTTCTCCACCTCTTGACTTGATCAGAGCACGCTCCCCTCTCCTGCAGGGGGGCGTGGTCAGCTGCAGCTCACAGAATCAGCCCCCTGCAAAAATAGGGATGGAGAACAGCAAATAGAGTGAAATGAGGCATGGCTAAAATGCATGATCTGTTTGGTATTTTGAAAACAGAAACGTATAAATATACCTTATATAGGTATGGCCCTACAATATATCATTTAAATATAGCATGATAGGTGTCCTTTAAATAAGTACTTTAATTGTCAGTGCACCCCGCTGCCTGATTGTGCCTGTGCTGTATGTCATTCATTCTCAACATAGATAAAAGTACAATAAGCACTCTTCAGGTGTAGGTAGATTCTCTATTCGGACATTATAGCCTATATGTGCGAGTGTCGGTCCGATGTTGTAAAAAAAATAAATAAAAAAAATCTCAAAATATTTTTTTATTTTTTATTCTCAAAATTACCGGCCAAATATTATTGCTGGCGGGCCAACAATGGCCCGCGGGCCGCCTGTTGCCGACCCATGCTGTAAACTGTTGAATAATGTGTAGTTCATCTACTTTTAGTAGTTTGTTTAAATGTTTTAATTATGATGTTTTTGTTTGTAGAAGTGCATCATTCCTTGATTTATTGTAAAATGAATCTGAACTTTTTGATCTGTTATGATGATAAACTGAAGCAATTTCTAAATTAACCCAATTAACTGAGTTTTAAATCGTCCTACTTAGTTTATAAGGAAATTATGAAGAGGAACAAATTAAATGATTTGAAAATGATATATATGTAGGTGCTGACGCTGTTGGCGGTTCTAGTGTTAACAGACATTTTAATTAAATATGTGTAATGGCAAATGCCATATATGATTTTCTTACCTGGAATTCTGCCTTTTTGAACAGACTTTTTGACTGAGTCCTAGCTATACTGAGTCCTAGCTATACTGAGTCCTAGCTATATTGAGTCCTAGCTATATTGAGTCCTAGCTATACTGAGTCCTAGCTATATTGAGTCCTAGCTATATTGAGTCCTAGCTATACTGAGTCCTAGCTATACTGAGTCCTAGCTATATTGAGTCCTAGCTATACTGAGTCCTAGCTATACTGAGTCCTAGCTATATTGAGTCCTAGCTATATTGAGTCCTAGCTATACTGAGTCCTAGCTATATTGAGTCCTAGCTATACTGAGTCCTAGCTATACTGAGTCCTAGCTATATTGAGTCCTAGCTATACTGAGTCCTAGCTATATTGAGTCCTAGCTATACTGAGTCCTAGCTATATTGAGTCCTAGCTATACTGAGTCCTAGCTATACTGAGTCCTAGCTATATTGAGTCCTAGCTATACTGAGTCCTAGCTATACTGAGTCCTAGCTATATTGAGTCCTAGCTATACTGAGTCCTAGCTATACTGAGTCCTAGCTATATTGAGTCCTAGCTATATTGAGTCCTAGCTATATTGTCTGCAGTTCTAGGGTTAATATGAATCTAATATGATTGTCATCGGTCTAAATTAGATTTCAAATGATTAACTGTGTATGTAATGAAGATCATAGTGTGGGTTAAATCCATTTTCATAACCACTGTCTTTTAACTGATTTAAATGCGGAAACTGGGCTTATTCATCAGAATTTTGTATGACTTGACTTGACTTGACTTGACTTGACCTGAGCAATGACTTGACTTGACTTGCTTGACTCTCACCACAGTGACTTGCGACTTGCTTGATACTTGTAGGTCAAGACTTGAGACTTGCTCATGACTTGCACACGTAGGACTTACTCCCACCTCTGCCAGTGTCTGAACAGATATGAGGAGCTGTGAGCTCTGAGTGTGTGCTAACAGCTAAAACAAAACAAAATTGGCGATCGGAGCATCCCTAATAATTGTATATGATATGTTTTATAATGATTGATCATGAAAGTGTTCTCAAAGCTGGTAAAGGTGCAGCTAGTTTGAATGACTTTGTATACTGCAGGGTAGCTTGTGAATTTACTCCAGGTGGAACTAAAGTCTGATTTAACACTTGATAATATTTCACATCATTCATCCACATCTGTGAAGTAACTAAAGGTATAAATACATGTAGTGGAGGAAAAGTACACCAGTTACCTCTGACTTGTGTTTACTGCCAACCTAAAAGTACCTCAAAAATAGTAATCAATAATATATTGAAAAGTTATTTGGCTGATTGTTTTATATTGGCTCAGCCAGGTTATATGGGATGCCCAGTCTACGTACAGTTGGGTCTCATTTTGAAATATTAAACTTAGTTTTCTTTTCTAACATTTTTAATTGTTCATCCTCATGTAGAATGCTATTATGAAACACACATTTGGTTGTTTATAGCATAAAGAACATCTGATTTAATGTGAGGTAGGGAAATAATCATTTGAGTATAAGTATGTGTATATAAATATGTAATTTACAACAGCTGTAAGATGCTTGAAAAGCTTGAAAATGCACCTTGAAAATGCTTGAAAAGTGCTTGAATTTGACTTTGGAAAAGGTGTAAGAACCCTGAATATAGACACTGCTGTACTTATGACTTCATGAAGTTACTCTAAGTGAGGATGGAGCAGCTAATGTTAGCCTAGCTTTAATCAAACCCATCTCTTTAGAAATAAACATTTAAAAATGTTTGTATGCTCATTGTGTTGGAGACAGACCTGACAAAGCATTAACTCAGGCTTTTTACAAATCAGTATCATTCTGTTGTTATTTAGGCATCCTTTCCATATGTTTATTGCTATGAATTCACAGCAGATTCTATGTTGGGTTTGTAAAGCACCGGGTTCATACAGCTGTGTGTAGATACAGGGAACATGTGCTCCTCTGGGTCAGGAATCCAGACAGGATGCTCTCTGGTTTTATGATCATGTGAACTGTAAGCTATCTACCTGATCACAAGGGTATATTATATAGACCTTTTTTTAAATATCAAACCAGAATGTTCCCCCTTGTTGTACCTTTGGTGAGAATCAGCTCCACTAATGTAAAGTGCTATAAAGGATGTGTTCATCTCCACAGAGGGAAGAGGAAGAGTGGTGTTCCTGTGGAGCAGCAGCTGTCCAGCTGTGCTCTGTGTCAGGACGTCCTGAAGGATCCAGTCTCTACCAGCTGTGGACACTGGTTCTGCAGACAGTGCATCACCTCATACTGGGAGCAGAGACCTCCATCAGGAGACCCCTCCTGTCCCCAGTGTGGAGAAAGATCCAGAACCAGAGCTGGCCTGCAGACAGCCAGTCAGACCAGCTCTGTACGAGGTAAGAGGCTGAACTCATGCAGCGTCTTATTCCTCTTCCTGGTTCCTTTGTTTCTTTTATTAGGTATTCTGTTGAAGAGCATAGACATTACAATGTTTATTAAACATTAGTTGTATTGTTAGATTCTCAAAAGCATTTCCTGATTCTCTCCTGTTTCTTCTCTTTCAGCAGATAGTGGTCTGCAGGAGGTTTTAGATGAACATAGGCTCAGTCTGAGGAGGAGATGTGAACGTGTGACTGAAGGAACTGATCAAAGTGAAACCCTCCTCAACAGGATCTTCACTGAGCTCTACATCACACAAGGCCTGAGTGAAGAGGTTAATACCCAACATGAGGTGAGGCAGCTGGAGACAGCTTCCAAGAAAGAGACCCTCCATGAAACTCCAATCAAGTGCCAGGACATCTTTAAAGCCTCACCTGACCAACAGACTCTCATCAGAGCGGTCCTGACCAACGGAGTCGCTGGAGTTGGAAAAACCTTCTCAGTGCAGAAGTTCACTCTGGACTGGGCCGAGGGTTTGGAGAACCAAGATGTCAGTCTGGTGATCCCGCTCTCCTTCAGGGAGCTGAACCTGATCAAAGGGGAGCAGTACAGTCTTCTCAGGCTGCTCCATGTTTTCCATCCAACCTTACAGAAGGTCACAGCAGAGCAGCTGGCTGTCTGCAAAGTGCTGCTCATCTTTGACGGCCTGGATGAAAGCAGACTTTCTCTGGACTTCAGAAAGAAGAAGGTTGTGTCTGATGTCTCACAGCAGTCCTCAGTCAACGTGCTGCTGACAAACCTCATCAGGGGGAAGCTGCTTCCCTCGGCTCTCGTCTGGATAACTTCCAGACCTGCAGCGGCCAATCAGATCCCTCCTGAGTGTGTGGACAGGGTAACAGAAGTACGAGGCTTCACTGACGCCCAGAAGGAGGAGTACTTCAGGAGGAGATCGAGTGATGAAGACCTGTCCAGCAGAATCATCTCTCACATCAAGAGCTCCAGGAGCCTCCACATCATGTGTCTGATCCCAGTCTTCTGCTGGATCACTGCTGCAGTTCTGGACCACATGTTGACTACAGACCAGAGAGGAGAGCTGCCCCAGACCCTCACTGACATGTACTCACACTTCCTGCTGGTCCAGACCAAGAGGAAGAAGCAGAAGTATGAAGAGGGACATGAGACGAGTCCACAGCAGCTGACGGAGGCTGACAGGGAGGTTCTTCTGAAGCTGGGGAGGCTGGCGTTTGAACATCTGGAGAAAGGAAACATCATGTTCTACCAAGAAGACCTGGAGCGCTGTGGTCTTGGTGTCACCGAGGCCTTGGTGCACTCAGGAGTTTGTACAGAGATCTTTAAAAGAGAGAGAGTGATCTTCAAGAAAACAGTCTACTGCTTTGTTCATCTGAGCATTCAGGAGTTTCTGGCTGCAGTCTACATGTTGCACTGTTACACCAACAGGAAGACAAAGGTACTGAAGAACTTCCTGAAGAAAGACTGGCCCTATAAGAACAGTAAAATCAGTTCTCAGGAGTATCCATCCCTGGATGTCTTTCTAAAAGGAGCCATGGAGAAATCCCTCAGAAGTAGAAATGGCCACCTGGACCTGTTTGTCCGCTTTCTCCACGGCCTCTCTCTGGAGTCCAACCAGAGACTGTTAGGAGGCCTGCTGGGTCGCACAGACAACAGTCCAGAAGTCATCCAGAGAGCCATCAGCAACCTGAAGGAGATGAGAAGTGATGAAACCTCTCCTGAAAGGAACATCAACATCTTCCACTGTCTGACAGAGATGAAGGACCACTCAGTGCATCAGGAGATCACAGAGTTCCTGAAGTCAGGGAACAGATCAAAGGAACTATCTGAGATCCACTGCTCTGCTCTGGCCTACATGCTGCAGATGTCAGAGGAGGTTCTGGATGAGTTTGACCTGATTCAGTACTACACATCAAAGGAGGGGAAACAGAGACTGATTCCAGCTGTGAGGAACTGCAGGAAGGCCAAGTAAGTCCAGATGTGATTCACTTTATAAACTAATGTGGATCAGGAGTTTAATTATTCAAATAAACACGATAACATTTCTGCTGTTTAAATACTGAGAGGCGACATGTCAAACACATGAAGGACTTTAGAGGTTCCTCAGCATGTGATCACACCACACAGCAGGACTTACAGTTATCAGTTATTATTACTTTCTAGTAGTTTCTTTATCATTAAAAACACACGATTTTATCACAATGTGTTAGAGTTTAAAATCAGATCTATATAATCTCCCACCAATAACAGAGTTATGTCTTAATGCTCATATAGTGAGAACATCTGATGGTATTCAGTTTAAAATATTGAAACTTTATTGGTTTGTTAACTGTGTTTGTGTGCGCAGTACATTTCCAGATGCTCAGAGAAGACAAAACATCCATCATTCACATCTAAATATTAATTAACATTTAAATATGTACATCTCTCATATTGTCAAGTGATTTATTTCATTTCTGTTTCTTTGGTAACAGTCAGTGACAGCAGGAGCGCAGACATGTGATCAGATCACACTGACAACACATTACACTCTATTATTATATATTATTATATATTATTATATATTAAATGGACTAACAGCAAATCTCAATCAGAACATTTCAAATATTTATTCATCAAATGCTTCAAGTTAATATGTTTCCTCTTTTTAACACATGTTGTAATATATGTGTTATTATAGACTGACTGGCTGTGGACTCTCAAAGACTCACTGTGAAGTCGTGGCCTCAGCTCTGAAGTCTGACTCCTCCCATCTGAGAGATCTGGACCTGAGTCAGAACGCTCTGAAGGATCCAGGAGTGGAGCTGCTGATCTCTGGACTAAAGAGTCCAAACTGCAGACTGGAGGCTCTCAGGTCAGTTCACTGACTGAACTTCATCTGTTTGTATTTATGATTTTCTGAATTTGAACAAATACATTTAAATTATTTGTTCCACTTTTGCTAATGACTGCATATTGATCAGAGTAACAAAGAGAAGGTGAATGTGTGAGGGAGAGTGTTTGAGCTTCCACAGACTCACTCTGTGCTCCATGAGTCAGTGGAGATGCTGTCAGTACTGATGAGCTGTGAGGGAGATGAAGGAGTTGATAAACATCTGATCAAAGTTAAAGTTCCAGATTATCAGTGGATTGTTTCTGCATCATCTCTGACATTAAAGGGGACCTATCATGCAGAATGCCCTTTCTGATGTCTTCTCTACATCACCATGTCCCCGGTGTGTCCCCGGTGTGTCCCCGGTGTGTCCCCGGTGTGTCCCCGGTGTGTCCCCGGTGTGTCCCCGGTGTGTCAGGAGACTCACAAAGTGTCAGGAAATAAACCCCTCTCTCTTTTTAAATAGTGCAATAAGAGTCTTTATGCAGGAACTCACCTTGTGGTAAACCTGAGAGAGAGAAAGAGTTTGAGCTCCATACTGTTTCAGAGAGAATCCTTGATGTGGTTTGGAACATGATGGAGTTTAATCACGGCAGCATTTAGCTGAATCTGCCGGGTAATTCTGATCAGGCATTAGCTCCCCCTCCTCTCTTTTTAAGCTAAGGACCCCGAACCTGCTCTTCTCTAACAGCTGGAACAGAGGGATATGAGGGATTTCTAAAATGCAGGATCTGTTTGGTATTTGGAGCAAAACACATCATAGACATGTTTTTATATATTGTTATATATCTGAGACCCAGAATATATGCCTAAAGATAGCAGATAGGAGACCTTTGAAACCCTGTTTAACTCTGAACAGATTATTAAACCTGGAGTTATTTCAAACAGGAACTTTGTTTTCTAAACTTACATCATGTTTTCTTTATTCAGTCTGTGGAGCTGCAGTTTGTCAGAGATCAGCTGTTCTGCTCTGATCTCAGCTCTGAAGTCCAACATCCATCTGAGAGTTCTGGACCTGAGTCAGAACGATCTGAAGGATTCAGGAGTGGAGCTGCTGAGAGATCTTCTGGAGAGTCCAGACTGCAGACTGCAGACTCTCAGGTCAGTTCACTGACTCTCTGTTACTGCTGGAGATCTCATGTTTCATTAGATATTCATCCTGATTCTTCTACATCATTAACTTACATCCATTCAGTTGTAAATGTTCTTTTATTCATATTTTCATTTGTAGCTACTAAAGTAAGAACTGCAGACTTAGATGTTGTCTGATTCTTGAAGGAACTGGAATAGATGTTAGTTGTAAAAAGTAAATCTATGTTTTTAATATTTAGTAAACGGTAACGTCTGAATAAAGTTCATCTGAAGTAATATTAGTTTTACATTAATAAAGTTTACTTTCTGAAGAAGACATTTTGTTTTTGTTCCCATTCATTTAAATGTTGAGTAACATCTGATTATAAACTGATTTGTATCCTCATCATGTTTTCTTTATTCAGACTGAGGAGCTGCAGTTTGTCAGAGATCAGCTGGTCTGCTCTGGCCTCAGCTCTGAAGTCCAACATCCATCTGAGAGATCTGGACCTGAGTGAGAACTACGCTCTGAAGGATCCAGGAGTGGAGCTGCTGAGAGATCTTCTGGAGAGTCCAGACTGCAGACTGGAGACCCTCAGGTCAGTAAGGGGTCTCTGCTGGTTCAGCAGTATTGTATGAACCACAGGGAGGTGTTTCTCTCACTGGGGAAACAGATCAGTGATGTTACCCACTGACTGCAGGCTCTCTCATTCTTCCATCAACTATAGAAGGCCAGCTGAACATGCAAAGCCACACTTTAGTAATCAACTCTCTAACAGACGGGGTTTTACAGAAGAGTGGGAAAGGTGGTCTGTTCTTATGGGATGTTTTTAGTTTCTAGACCAGGGGTGTCCAAACTGCGGCCCGGGGGCCAAATGCGGCCCTCTGAATCCGCCCTCAGCAAATTCTGAAAGTCTAATGAAATATGACCCACTAATGAAACTTGTGCTTGTCTTATATTGTACTTCTTAAATATATATGTACACATATATTACTCAGTAGTATTCATGTGTTCATAATCCCACTTTTTAAATAAATTCAGTCATTAAAGCTGAAAACATGTTCTAACAAATCTAACTTGATAAGAAAAAAGCCCAATAACTTATTTGTATAACAAGCGTGAAATAGACCCTTCATATTTCCTGTGATTATAATCAATCTGAAGATCCTGCTTTAAGGAATGAGCTGCTGACAGAATAAAGTGAACCCTCTGGAGAGCTGGGAGCTGTTGTTTCTTAAAGCATCTTCAAGTAACAAGCATCCTTTACCTTCATCTGAGGTTTCTGACTTATAACTGAACTCATGAGGCAACATACCTCTAGAGAGCGGCCCAGACCTTTATATATCTTTCTGTATGTGGCCCTCGGGGAAAAGAGTTTGGACCCCCCTGTTCTAGACCAATGACTGGTTACTTCCTGTCATGCAGCTGAGAGCTGTGGCAGGCAGTCGTAGTGTTTGCAGAGAAGATATGATGGGATGTAAAGCATGAGATCAGGACTCTGAAGCTGACTCAAAGAACTAACACTTATTTAAACTGGATCTAAAGCTGTTGGATTGTGTTCATCTCTACAGGATCGGAAGATGGGATAAGCCGATCACGATCCAGAAGACCTGTGAGTACTGAAACCATATCCTCCATTCATCAAGATACTAAACTCTTGAATGGAGCATGACCTCAGAGGAAAACAACACTCTTCTTTCTCTCTTCATCATTCTGGCTGTTTCTCTGTGTTTTATCATCATCATCATCATTCTCTCTCTCTCTCCTTCTCCTCTCAGGTGACAGGAAGTGAAGACACACAGAAAGGTGAGAGGTCGTACCAAGTGAACTTTATTTATTGAGGTTTCAACACTTAATTAAAATGTAGTTATTGCTCAGTGTGTTTCTGGTGTTCCAGACAAATCTGCAAACTCAGGTTTTATTTGTTCTCAGTTTATTCATCACGGGGCGAGTTTGAGACGTCCAGAGGAGCGTGGAGGCATTTTGGAAAATACAGAAGAAGACTGCAGCTGATGAGAGACTTCCTGTTAGCTCTCCTCAATATGAAATGAACAAAAACAATCCATTGTACTTAAAGCTTTTCTTAAAGATGTGTTGCACATACACCTGCTGCTACCTACCACCACCTCCCACCCATCCCGGCACCAAAGAGGAGACCCCATCGACCCCAGATACCCCAACTCACTCTTCTTCAGGTTAGCTTGGAGCCCCGCCTTTACCTGCCCCAACATCTCACTTTGAACGATGTAGTCATCCGGATATCTGCATATTGAGAGTGGGACGCAGGACCCGGTCAATGAGCTGCTGGAAGGGGGTCCACTGGACTGGAGGGGCTCTTGGATCTGGTGATGCCTTGCTCTTTCTAAAAGTTCGGTTTCCCAAGCGGGTAGGAGGTTAGTTAGAGCCATCTTAAGCATTGCATTGTGTTGATGTCTCCATATTAAGTTGAATAATTAAAACGAAAGTTAATATAATCAAATATAATCAAATATAATCTTGTATAACCCAAAATGAAAATATTATATTTCATGTTGTTCTATAATCACAGTTTATACAAACATAAGTAGTTTGTTAAATTGAGTTTAAGGCCTATTGTAGTTTATGGGTGTCACTGTTTAAAGAGGGGGGACAGTTGTCTTCACTCACAGGCTGTACCCCCGACTCAATGGAAAAGTACTGGAGCCCCAAAATGTGTTCAGGCCATACCATAGGAGAATATGTCTGGATGTCCAGTCCTGCACACCAGATGTCATGACCTTTCCCCACAGGGTATAAAGGAGGTGTCTTTGGGTTTTCTTTGTGTTCCTATGTGCAGCATAAAAGCACTGGCTGAGAGGGAGAAAGCTCCAGAGCGGGGTCTCTCCTTGGTAGGTTCTCTCAACTTGGTAAGATCTCTCAGATTGATTTGGTGAATTGTTGAATGAAAGCTTGAATGTGTTAGATACCACTGACCATTTATGAGGAGATTCCTCTGGATTCTGTCGGGTTAGACTTTTAATGTTTCAACTGAAGAGGGCAGTTGAAGTTAGAATTTAGTGTAAGAAATGTAAAACTGAATTGAGCTTTTATATTAGAAAAGTACCACAGCATGATATGTTTTGTATGATTGTAACGAGAGAAGGTAAAAACCTGTTTAAGTGTGGACCATTTTCTTCAAATAAAATCATCCCACCTTTTTGGATTGGGAGAACTTCAAATAAATCTGCGCTCTCCTCTCCTGCTTAAAGGTAAGATTGCACCACTGCCACACTCACACTTAGGTAAGGCCACACCTCATTACTGACACCAAAATCCTTCGGGATAACTTAAACAGATTTAGCGTGTCGTCTGAATTGAAACAGCAGTTAATTGAACCTGGTTCTTCAGGAGTTCATAGAGGTGAGACCTTGCTGACCTCGATGGATCTGAGCCGAGCAGTAAACTTAGAATCAATAGCTTCTGGTAGGTCAATTAGTAGGTCTGAGTAATTGCCGGAATAAAGGAACAGACCTCCCGACTCCAACAATAGTCATGGGGGTGTTCCTTGCTGAAGTTGGGAAAGGAGGGCCCCTCAACCTGAGAGTTGTGGGACAGTAGCTTTAGCATGTTAGCATTGTGAGCTAATAACTTCCACATTGGCTTATTGGTAATGAGACGCTTGCTATTACAGTATGAATTCCTGACACATGTTAATTGGAATAATGAGTCTGTCAGTGCCTCCATGTGCATCCTTGCTCTGTAATAAAAACAGGACACATTCTGCTTTAAACACTTTCTACTTTCCTCCCACTGCCGCTGCCAACAGAGGGCGATACAGACGTGATCTTCTCCTTGTTCCCTCGCTCTCTCGCCCCTTCGAAAGTCATTTAATTGGAACCTCCCCAGCTCTTGTAGCTTCTCTGTTTTTAAGGTCCTTGTGTTTATTGATTGCTGTGAAATGAAATGATGCCTCTCAGTGGAGTGGGATTGAGACACAGCGTTAATGATACACACACACACACACACACACACAGGCTAACTGCAGCCTCTTCACATTTACAGATACTCAGAGTTCTCCAATTGATGTAGGTGTTCCTAGAAGTGGTTATTATGAAAATACACAGGAATCTATCAGAGTATAAACCTGGTTTGTAGCCATGCTAATAGTCTGTCTACTACTAAGAACCACATTTAAATAACTCAACACCTATTGGATGGATTGCATTGCATTTGATTCATTAGTCATCTCCTCTAGCCCCTTCATTAAGGACATGCTAGTGCTAATTAGCTGTGTTAGCATGCTGAACTCGTGTGTTAAACACATTTTCAAGATTCAACATTCAAGTTTCAAAGCTTTATTGTCATTTGCACAGCAGCTACAGAGTAGATATGTCAATGAAGATCTTCTCCAACAGAGCAACATGAATATATATAGGACATGGAACAAATAACAACAGATAAAATAGTGCAAGAGAATGTTTTGAGATGAGCAAAAATGTAAATACAAATAAAATAGAATATAAATAGTGCAAGAATTAGCTATGTTAGCATGCTGAACTCGTATGTTAAACACATTATAGGAGCTAAACAGGAGCTTGATAGCATTGTGAGCATGTTAGCATAAAGCTAATAGCCTCAGTCCAGCCTCTCAGAGAATGAACACATGAACACACAGTGACCTTATTGAGTAACAGCCATAAAAGCCATTGATTACCTTTTACAACATGCTAACAGCTCCTAAGCTACTTGCACACGTTACAGACGAGCTGTACCTCGACTGAAGCTGCTTCTTCTATCTTCAAAACAACATGCTTCACTCAGAGGAGGAGATCTGAGATGTTTTTCACAAACATAGCCACAACTCTTGTAAATAAATTACCCTCCCACTCAGGGCTTTTTGGAGTAGATCACATCATGACCTACTACAAAAACCTAGGGGTACGCAAAGATGATTTCAGTCTAGCAAGCAGTGGCGGCCGGTCCATAGGGGCGCTAGGGGCGCCGCCCCACCTCTTCCCATATTGAAAAAAATAAAAATAAATAATAATTAAAATTAAAATAAAAAAAAAAAAATATGTTTAAAAAAATATATATGTTTTTATTTTTATTTTTAATGAACAAGGTAAATATTATATAATTGGTATCAGTAAAATGTATAATCTACAATAAAATCTCGTTTAAAATTGTGTTACGATGTCTAAAGTTACTGATAAGTCACATGTTTCCTGCCTGGCCTTGCCCATGCACCTTCTCTCGTCTGGGCGCTAAGAGAGGAGCCTTCAACCAGTGCAGCAGCAGCCACCAGCAGCTGACTGTTGCTATCTGTAACGTGTAAACTATGCCGCGAAAATATAATTTCAGCCAATCAGCGTCGTCAAAGATGACGGTCACCGGGCGCCAATGTCAGCGCCCAGTGCAGTCTGTGAGTAGTTTGGACAGTGACTCGTATCCGGTTGACGCAGTAGTTGATGAGGATGGCTTCGTGTGCAGGTGGAGTCTCCGGACCTCGGTCCGCGCCTAATTCTGTTCAAGAGCTAATCTCCAATCCTTTCGAAAGGAGAAGTTTGGCAGATAAATTGTTGCTTAAAGACCTTGCACCGGACCAACCCGATTTGAATATATCGCAGCAATCTCGTGAAAAAGACAACATTTATACACGAGGCTTCACAAGTAGCTGGTACACAAGAAAGGCTTGGCTAGCTGGATGCAAACAGGTAAATGCTGTCTTTTGTTTCCCATGCTTGGATATCACTTTATATGTAGAGAGGAGGTTTCCCATGGTTGTTAGAAGTTTATTAATAAGTGGGCATTTATCACAGAAGTGATTGTTCTGTCTCCACGTTTGTTGCATTGTCTGTGATGTATTTTCCAACGGTTATAGCTCCTGTTCTGTCCCAGCAACACTACACGGTTTGCAGCTCCACCACATTTTTGGTTTATCTTCGGTGTCGCTTAAAATCTGCTTCCCATCGGACTAAAACCTCCACGTAATCTGAAGACAGATACTTGAAGTTATTTAAACCTTTTGCAAACTTTATGTTCTTTCTTGCTCTAGCCTTGCCAGTTACATTGTACATAACACATATATTATCATTATGCTAACTGGTTGTTCGTGTTAGACGATGTAGCTTTTTCATTTCTGAGTTATTGCTATATGTAAATAAGCCTGTTTGTAAATAATCCTCAGAGAAACAAAGAAAAAACACAATTTATGACATTTTGTGCTGTGGTTATTTTTTTTAAATTGCATTTATTCACAGTTCAGTTTGAAATGCTGTAGTGACTTGTATTGAACCACTTAAATATTTATAATTAATGCTACTGAAAAGATGCTATTAATTTTATATCTCACATGCAGTTCACTGTAAAGCTACTTGGTGAAGGTGTTTTAAGAAAGAAAAAAACAGACCAGTTCTGAGAACACAAATTCCTGGTAAAGTAGTAGATGTTCAGGTTGATAAATAATATTTTCCACACTGAAGATTATGGAGGTATTGATCAGTCTTCTCATATTTTTAAGCCTCGATTTCTCCTTTCCCCCCCCCTCTAACATCACCAGAAGTCATCATTTAAGGGGTCATTTCTCGGACCCCCCGGGTAGGTCACTTACGGTACGTCAAGAGCCCCACCAAAAAAAAAGACCACCGGCCGCCACTGCTAGCAAGGGTAACAACAGCAGAGGTACTCATTAAACTGAGCGCCCTCAAACCTAACAAGGCCACTGGCCACGACAATATCCCCTCCAAATTCCTCAGAGACACAGCAACCGCCATCTCACCAGTCATAGCTCACATAATTAACCTCTCCATAAAACAGGGAAAAGTACCCAAAGACTTCAAAATTGCAAGAGTAACCCCCCTGCACAAAAAGGGCAGCAAATTGGACCCAGGCAACTACCGCCCTGTTTCTATACTTACCTCCATCTCGAAAGTCATGGAAAAAATAGTATATGAACAGGTCGAAAAGTACCTCGCAGAAAAGAAACTAATCTATGAATTTCAATCTGGATTTAGAACATCCCACTCCACTGACACATGCCTTCTTTATTTGAACGACCACATCAAACAAGAGGTGGACGAGGGTAAATACTGCGGCATGGTGATGCTGGACCTACAAAAGGCTTTCGACACTGTCAATCACCCCATTCTGATTGACAAGCTAAAAGCAATTGGTTTTGATAAACTATCGGTGAGCTGGATGCAATCCTACCTGGAGGGGAGAGAACAGATGGTGGAGGTAAACGGTACTCTGTCCCCCCCCCTCCCAGTGAGCTGTGGTGTTCCACAAGGAAGCATATTAGGTCCGTTACTGTTCCTAATTTATGCAAATGACATGTCATCAGCATGTGACTGCAACTTGTTCCTGTTCGCGGACGACTCAGCCCTGCTGGTCTCTGACAGGAGCAGATTGCAGGTTGAAAAAACCCTCAGCTCCGAGCTCGGCAGAATCTGCACCTGGCTCGCCGATAATAAATTATCATTACACCTGGGTAAAACAGAGTCCATTCTCTTCGGTTCGAAACATAATCTCAGCAAATCCGACGACTTCTCAGTTGCAGTGGGTGACATTATTGTCACAAGTAAGAAGGAAATTACATACCTAGGATCTATTCTTGAGGCAAACCTCTCCTGTGACAAAATGGCATCCAATGTAATAAAAAAAGTCAATCAAAGAACTAGATTCCTATACCGGATCTCCTCTCTGGTAAACAAAAACACCCTGAAAACTCTGGCAGGAGCACTCATTCAAGGGTACTATGACTATGCTTGCACGTCATGGTACCATAGCACCTCCAAGGCGCTAAAAACAAAACTTCAAACATCGCAAAATAAACTGGTCAGACTACTGCTTGACCTTTCATCTAGAACCCACCTCACCTCTGCCCACTTTGACAACCTAGGATGGCTTAGAGTAGACGACAGAGTACAGCTACTTGCAATGGGCCTGGTCTACAAGATCCACTACACCTCTATGGTACCCATGTACATGTCAAAATTCTTCCCAAAGGTCAAGGAATACCATGATCATAACACCAGAGGGAGCTCCACAAATCATGTAAAACCCAGATTTGGCACAAAAAAAGGGGAATACACGTTTCGCAATTATGCCACATCAAGGTGGAACGCTCTTCCCACAACTGTAAAGGAAAGTAAAACTATACTTACCTTCAAAACCTCTCTTAAAGAGCACCTTCGGGGGAAAGCATTGCAAAACTGGCCCCGGTAATGGTACAAATCTCAACCTGTCGTACAATGGACAGCTTCCCCCCCCCATCTATGTATATACTCGCATTTTAGACTCTGTTACTAACTGTATATCTGTAGACTTGGTATGTCTTAAATGTCCGGTTAGGATGTATTAGAACGAAATCTAAAATGAAAATTGTAAATAATCCATCTGTATGTAAAAAACCACCTGTATGTAAATTGTAAATAAGCCATCTGTATGTCAAATATGTCTTATATGTCTTAAATGATATGATGAATTGGAAATGGGGGACCCTGATGTAAACAAGACGAAAGTCTTTCTCTGGTCTGCATCCCCTTAACAATTGTATGTTTTGAGCTGTACTGTACTGTACCCAATATACAAGCTGTTAATAAACTTTTCAATCAATCAATCAATCAATCATGTGCTGTAGTTAAAGGACAGACAGTAAGATGATGCTTCTGTGGCTGTTTTCTGCCTTTTCTCTGGTGTTTTTGACCCCAGTGTGTGACGCAGTGTGTTCAGCTCAGGAGTTCAGCTGCTCTCAGGATCTGTGTGTGTCCGAGGGAAGTGTGTGTGACTTCACTGACGACTGTGGAGATTACAGCGATGAGGAAAACTGTGAGTAAATATTGATTTTGTCAGATTTTCTCTGACTTTGAGACTGGATTACCTTTCAACAGGTGTCTTAAAGTACCTCGTACACCTATAACTTCACAAATCCATATATATTCAGAGTGAACAATGTGATACACAAGTCAAGATGTAGTTATAAATTGCATTATCAACGTATATATAGCAAAAACCAGTGTCGTTCTACTATATTTCAGAGGCAAAAAGCACCTTTTGTTCATATAAAAACACATGATTTGCTGATATGGTGTAACAGAGTACTGAAATACTATTAAAAACAGTATTTCAAGTATCTAAATGTAGTCAAACCACAATGCTAAAAGGCTCTTACATGTAAATAAAACATGATAATAGTATTAGTACTTTTACTTTTGATACCTAAAGTACATGTTATACTTATGTACTGTGTGTATACTGAAATGCATTCATTACAACATGCGTCTGTGAGGATATTCAATGCGTGATATATCTTAAAATATGAATGAATATACATTTCATTCTTTGCAGTGGTGGAAATGAACTAAATACATTTATTGAAGTAGATTTGTTGAGGTAAACCTATCTGTATTATTACTTTGACTTCAGTTTAAGATCCTGGTTCTTCTTCTGTGGTGCATCATTGATAATCCTGCCTTGCATACCAACTCACATTCAGTTTCATCCCTAATTCTTTTCAGTCTTCTGTTTCATGTTTGGCAGTGAAGTCCAGGATTAACGCTTATAATGCTCTGATGAGATGATGTTACTTTATTGTGTGCAGAAACCACATCTTAAAGCGGCCGTATTATGTTTGTTGGGGTGTTCTCTCTCCTGTAGTGTGTTTTAGTGCATGTAAATGGTCTGTAAATGCTAAAATCCCTGCCTGATATGATGCTTTATTTACAGAATCTGTAATCTGCAGCATGTCATTAGGTTAGTTATTGTATAGGCAGGTGTTTTGCAGCGGACTGGAATGTCAATTTGATCAGATATTGCATGGAAATGTAACACTTTGACTCATTCAGAGGTAGAGAGATAGCATAAAGAGGCCGTAGACGAGAAACCCTGCAGTTTGAAAAGCTAAACTCAAAGAGGCTGAAGCATGTCTTCTTTCTGGTTGTAGGCTCTGGATATAAGAGGTGTGGTTTTGAAGATGGATTCTGTGACTTGATGCAGAGCTCAGAGTCCAGATGGATCAGAACTACCGAGGCTCCTGGACTCAAACACGACCACTCAAACACATCAGGTGGGACATTAGGGACACTAGACATCTATTTTAAACTCAACACATGTACCTTATACTTCTGCAGATCTTTTTTTAATTGTATGTTTTATTATTTATTCTACTGTTTCAACAATTAGACAGTTTATACATCCAAGAAACAAACATGATGAGTAGAAGCAGGAGGCAGAAAGCAGAGTGTATCCAGAGGTATCCCTCCGTTAGTCATCCAGCAGGATAAAGAAAAGAAAAGATCATTCTGTAATTAAATACGCACACAGATAAACAACATTCTATATATACATACACATACATATGTACACATATACGTACATACACCCATTTCCAGGGTGACAATAAAATGATAAAGTCAAACAAATAATAAATAAATTCCTACAAGTCCACGTTCAGAAAACAAGACGGTTTCATTTCTCATCCTATTTTGATGTAAACTGATAATTAAGATAATTATGATAGTAGTCTTTGTACTTGTTATAGTATTTATTATTATTATCCTTACAGCAGCTAGGTGTACCCATTGTTTGGTTCCTTGGAGTAGTCTGCTAACACATTTTTTCTGACTCTTGATTTGAATGTTTGATGACAGTCATCACTTGAGAGAGTTTTGTTAAGACCACTCCATAGTTTTCAAATCCACGTCTCCCTCTCTTTCAGCTCACTTCCTGTCCCTTTCACCTGGAACCAGAACCTCTGCAGACCTGATCAGTCCTTTCTTCCTGCCCACTGAAACCTGCCAGCTGAGAGACCCTCAAATAACATCTGTTTGAACATTAAAGCACAGGAGAAATGTTACTTTAGTGGGAATGCTGACACAGCATTCCCACTAAAGAACGAGAGAGGAGACGAGGACACGAGAGAGGAGAGACGAGGACATGAGAGAGGAGAGACGAGGACATAAGAGAGGAGACGAGGACATAAGAGAGGAGACGAGGACACGAGAGAGGAGAGACGAGGACACGAGAGAGGAGAGACGAGGACATAAGAGAGGAGACCAGGACACGAGAGAGGAGAGATGAGGACATAAGAGAGGAGACGAGGACACGAGAGAGGAGAGACGAGGACATAAGAGAGGAGACGAGGACACGAGAGAGGAGAGACGAGGACATAAGAGAGGAGAGACGAGGACACAAGAGAGGAGACGAGGACACGAGAGAGGAGAGACGAGGACACGAGAGAGGAGAGACAAGGACACAAGAGAGGAGAGACGAGGACACGAGAGAGGAGAGACGAGGACACGAGAGAGGAGAGACGAGGACACGAGAGAGGAGACGAGGACACGAGAGAGGAGAGACGAGGACATAAGAGAGGAGACAAGGACACAAGAGAGGAGAGACGAGGACACAAGAGAGGAGAGACGAGGACACGAGAGAGGAGACGAGGACTCGAGAGAGGAGACGAGGACACGAGAGAGGAGAGACGAGGACACGAGAGAGGAGACGAGGACACGAGAGAGGAGACGAGGACACGAGAGAGGAGACGAGGACTCGAGAGAGGAAACGAGGACACGAGAGAGGAGACGAGGACACGAGAGAGGAGACGAGGACACGAGAGAGGAGAGACGAGGACACGAGAGAGGAGACGAGGACACGAGAGAGGAGAGACGAGGACACGAGAGAGGAGACGAGGACACGAGAGAGGAGAGACGAGGACACGAGAGAGGAGACGAGGACATGAGAGAGGAGAGACGAGGACACGAGAGAGGAGACGAGGACACGAGAGAGGAGACGAGGACTCTTAACTAATGGCCTAGTACTTGTAGAATAAGGCATTACTAAGAGTTTTATAGTGACTAATAAAGAGCCTAGAAACTGCTAACATGTTAATGAACAACTCGTTGATGGTGAACGTGCACTTTAATATAAAGTGTTTCCCAAATTACATTTCATAACATGCAGAAAAGTCTCTCTGTTTCCTCACTTATAACTAACGCTCTCAAATAGACTCTCAAATAATGTGTACTTTAGTATATATACTCACCCTGACCCTCCACTGGACAAAGGGGTTTGATATTTGCACTTTAGGTGAGTCCTAATTTAGTGTCCTGCAATAATGAGATGAACCACTAGATGGCGCCAGAGGATCATTAAAGCTGGCTTCTCTGCCTAGCAACACAAAGTACACTATACCACAAAGAACATCTCCAGTTATTATTGTGTTATTTAAATATATATAAAATGACCTTAGAAGTGTTTTCTTTGGGTCTGATTGTGACGATGAATTCTACGTCAGTCATTTGATTTATTTCACGCCTGGAAGTCTAATTCTTCGCTGCTCACTCAAGCTTAACATTTCCCTCTCAGCTATAATTGATGTTTTGTTTGTGAACGCAATGACTTTTTCTTTATTAGAGACTAAAGGACTTCTTTGATAAAGAGCACACGCAGGTAAACAGCTGCTATTAATACAAACAACACAAATAAACATGCTTTTAGTTGATTTATGACTGCTATGCTTTCAGGTGACCTGCAGAGATCTCATTACTTCTGTGTCTGATATGAAGCAGTTTAATAAGCACCACTTCAATCATCATATTAAAGCACCGTATGAGATGTGAGAGGGTCTTCTGTAGACTTTCATCATGGCATGGTCTCTAAGGTTTACTTCAGTATCTATTGTTGTTGTTTTACAAATTAAAAAGGAAAGAAAACGACCAAATCTCCAGATGAATGTTAGCTTTAAATAGTTGTTTAACTGACTTCTCTCCATGCCGTCTATTTGAAATATGTCCTGCACATATCGCTTGTTGTTCTTACGGTTAGACGGTTAAATGGACGGCTTATTAACACGTGTTCTGGGCGTCTCTCCCTCTCTTCACGAAGGCCAGTCTGTTCAAACTGAATTGAGACCAATCTGATTTGTTGAACTGAAGAATTGGTGAAATGAACACCACATGTTCAGCAGACTGCAGATTGACGCCTCTGGCAATCTGCAAGAAGACAGAGAACACCTCTTTTTGTTCTTGTGATATTTGAGCCAAAGAAAAACAAGAAATCTAAACCTGAGATTGAAGCCTCTCGTCCACTCACTGGGTCATATCTCATACATTCTGCATCTGGAAACTCTCATTCATTCCCATTAATGCTGTCCTTCCCTTGACTGAGATAACGGCTAATTCATTCACAAACTCAATGTCCTCGATGTGTTCCACTCTCAGGACATTGTCTCTGTCATATAAGCGTCACATAAAGCTTGTCTTCCTATATATTCTGCAGCTTCATTAGCATTTCCCCAGCAGCCGCCTAACGTCCATAAAACACAGCCCCAGTATAGCTCCTTAGCATACAGGAAGTCACGATGACACGGTGCACACACATCATGGGAACTGACATCCAGATGCAGTCTCTGTGGAGGAGAGTTCATGAACACTAATGCAGTATCTGGAACTCCCTTGTTCTGTTAAAGACACATTTCTTACCTTTTTCTCAGGATTTATTCAATAACATACTTTTTTAATCGCATCACGCCCTTTTAATGGATGTTGGTGTGACATTTAGATATTACAGTGAATTACAAGCTTCATCCACACGTTAACATCTACTAATGGGCTTCCTGCTTCCAAGCTGCATTGATGTTATAACGGTAACGGTGTCTGGGGGTTATAGACACCCAGAAACAATCCTTCATATATGTGTTATCATAGGAACACTGGTTTGGTTCCCAAACAACCAAGTTAACGTCTTCATCGTCCCTGAAAGTACTTCCTTTTCAATGAGCACTGAACACTTGAAAGTTAATTGATGATTTCGTACAGAACAGTGTGTGTGAAATACATTCAATGAATTGTTTGACAAATGTCTGCATCGCTCACTAGCCTCCGGGACGTCAGGGAGGAATTCCTCTTGTACTTAAAGCGACCTTTGTTTCTCTCACGAAGGAGAATTCAACCACGAGGGTTTCTTCAGAATTCATAAGCAGTGAGGCAGAAGAGGAAAGAAAAACAAATAGGGCTGAGCTGGTGGGACGAAATGTTGAAAGATATTAGTTTTTATCCAACAAGGACCATGCATAGAATACATTTACCTCAAAGAGAGAAGACATATGTGCCGGATTTGACTGTTATTTCCCTTTGTGGGGTATTTACAGACGTAGAATTCAAATCTGTTCAGCTTGTGTTAACCATAGAACCATATGAGGCTTACAACCAAAACACATTCAGAACACCATTGACTTCCAGACAGGAAGTGGTGGAATGCTAAGTCTTTTCCGGGGTTTTAGGACTCATTCTTGCACCTCTCTATTGCCAGACACTCCTATAGACAGCAGGGTTCGTACGGGTGCTGGAAATCCTTGAAAATGCTTGAAATTTAAATAAAAACATCTATTTTGATTCTGACTTTTCTACATCCAACTCATCCAATAAACCGTCACGGTAGCCTTACCTTACTGATCCCTCTTAAAATAGAAAAACACACGTTACTTTACCAGCAGAGAGAAGATGGATTATTACATTATTAATGTGACTAATAAAGAGCACTTTGATTATGAAGTATTATTCTGTTGATGGATGTCATTACATTTGGTGAAAAGCTCATAATGACTTGTTTAAGACTCGTTTTTCAAAGTGTAGGACTTGGACTTGACTTGAACTTGCCCATCCTGACTTGAGACTTGACTCGGACTTGAGTGCAAAGACTTGAGACTTACTTGTGACTTGCAAAACAATGACTTGGTCCCACCTCTGCAAAATACCAACATGCCTCATAGCCCTCTATTTCAGCCCTGATTTTGGCACATCTTGTAAATTAGTTAAATGTAGCTTTGTGTTTTTATTTAAGTCGCTGTTCATAGTTTTTTATATGAAGCAGATTTAATGATACCCTATGGTCGTTGATGTGTGGATGTTGTGTCGTCTTTTGATAACTTTGTTGAGCTTGTTTTTAGCTGCATGTCTTTTCTTTGATCTCACTGAACAAAGTCCCTGTGTGTGAACTGCTTCAGCTGAGGAGGCTGGATATGAAACAGAGAAGGAGCTGCAGAGAGAAAGGGACGTTGAATGTAGGAAGTGAAAGTATGAAGTCATACTGTCAGACGCCATTTTACAGCTCGGAGCAGGAGGAGAACAACAGGGTGAGTGTTAACACCAGGATCTGCTTTCTAACACATTTGTTATTTACTAATTTTGTTTTACTGGATGTCAGAAAATAACCTCTTGGTTAACAATCAGCGTCCTAGAGTCCATTGAGACTTCTGCAAGTGTTGTAAACTTTGATTATTTCCTGTTTCCTGAGTCATCAGAGTTACATAACATGTGACAGCCCAGCGCAGACAAAATGGAGAGCGGCCTGAAGTCTGACTGATTTCATGTATTGTGTGTGTGTGTGTGTGTGTGTGTGTGTGTGTGTGTGTGTGTGTGTGTGTGTTGTGTGTGTGTGTGTGTGTGTGTGTGTGTGTGTGTGTGTGTGTGTGTGTGTGTGTGTGTTGTGTGTGTGTGTGTGTGTCTGGTTTATCTCTCAGACTGGAGAAGATGAGTGATTTAAAAGATGAGGAAGAGGACAATACTCCAGTCCCCAGCTGTCTGTCTCTGAAGAGTGACGGGTCTATGTGGGACCCTCCAGACTTCAGTAATGAACCTGGACCCTCAGACACAAAGTAAGAGTTTCTACTGTAACCTGACCTGAAGAGGATTCAGTATGTTGGTCAGTGGCGTTTTTATATGTACAAAAGTGGTGGGGCACAAAAAACTTAGATGTCTATATATAAGCTTCTGCAGTGACGTGCAGTGAGGTTCATGGCTGCTGAGGCACTGGCACTGACTCTTCAGGTTTACAAATATTATATTTTGACCTAAACCAAAATATAATATTATTTTCAAAAGCTTTTTTTGTCTGATGCTTCGATTAATTTTAAACAGACAGTTCAACAAAAGGATACCCAAAAAATGTAAT